TCCCTGCCCCAGCCATATTGCTTTTGTCTCTCCTTTGTTCAGAGACAGCCCGGCAGATCTATTCCCCTAATAAAGGCTTGTTGTGGCCTGGTCTGGTCTTGGTCTTCGGCCCTTTTACCTGACAGTCTCAAAAAAAAAAACCAAACCACCAAACCCACTACAAAAAAAAAACAAACCCAAATTATGTTTACTTACAATCATCAGAGGATAATCTTCAAGTGTGAGATATCCATAGGGACCCTTTACTTCAACAGTCACTGCCAAAACAGAGTCCTCAGAATTAATTAAACAAACCCAGAAATTTAAACAAAAATCCTATCTAATATTTGATGAATTAATAACATTTTTGTCAGGTCACGGACTTTTGCCACTTTAATCCTGGTGAACACTGCGTTACATTTGTGTAGCGCTCTGCAAGTCACTGAGAATTCTCCTGTCATCTCATGTCCTGCACAGACATTCACGCCGGCTCTGGTCTGAAGTAAGAAGCCTTTCTCCCCAGACTGCTATCCTGAAGACTAGACAGATGATACAGCCTCCACAAAGCCCTCTCTGACTGCCATCTGGAAGGATCCTCTCTCCTCAAAATTGCAAGCACACTTCATATTGTGGGACTGCATAACTCTGTAATCATAAAACTCCCCTAGCCCCAACTGTGACTGAATGTGAGTTAATAGATAAAGATGCTTGTTAGTTCCAGGACACTAGATAAGATCTGTATCAGCCATAAGGTCCCAAAGTAAATTACTCAACTCTTTGTTTGTTGTTAACTGATGTTCGGACACCACTATCTATAGAACAATCTACAAACATCTGCTGACCATCAGTACGTGTCAGCTGACCACTAACCTTTGTTCCTCCTTCGGTAAATTTCGCCTGTTAACTTCCCCTGCAACCCCCTATAAAAAGAGCCTCAGACTCTGGGCTAGTTGCCTCTCTAAGCTACTTTGCTTTGGGAGTGCCATCTGGCCAGACTAAGTAAGGTCTGTTTTACTTTCCAACTTGTCCCGGTGTGCTCCTTCCCGGGTGTTCTTCGCCGCAGTCAGCTCCTCGGAGCGTTCGGTAAGGCCCTCAGTCTTACAATATATACTTTTTCTCACAACGTATCACTAATATGCTTTATAGCATTTGCTTTCTTCCTTCTGTCACCATCTTTGTATCCTGTCCCTCACCTGTATTTCCCGGGTATTTTCTGACTTCAATTTTATCTGACTTTGCTACATTAAGGTACCATTTTCAAAACATAAATTCATTTGGACTCCCACAAATCATGCGTTCTCTCCAGTAAAGTAAGGTGAAACTATCCAGCTTCCTAGTCACGCACCCAGGAACCTCACTTCAAAATGAAAAGAACTTAAAAAGTTCAGATGGATGCAAAGTACCATCCAATAAAATCAGAAATAGATTTTTCCAAACTTGCTAGTTAACATTTCTCAAAAACTCTAATAACAAAGTAAAGAAGCTGAAAAAATAAGTGACATGAATCTAAGATTTGCCTTTCTGAAGCAACCTATCAGCTATTATAATGTGGGACTGCATAACCTTTGTTCCTTTTTCCTCCAGCCCCATTGTGATTAAAATGTGAGTTACTGGATGGAGATGTTTGTTGGTCTAGGGACGCTAGATAGGGATCTGTAACAGACCTAGAGTCCCAG